TGATTTCCAACAGAAGATACAGCATATTTTAGTCACTTTCCTTTATTTCTTCTTGTGCGAAAATAAATAAATAAATAAATAAATAAATAAATAAATAAAAATGATAACAGTCTCCATAGATTTCTTTTATTTTGAATTCAAGTACCCACAAGAAGATCTTTAATGGTAAAAGTGTATTTATGTTTCATAGCAATGAAGAAGTACGAACCTACAGATGACACTACCAATCCTTCCTTGATCCTGGCTGCTGCACAGATGGAGCAGTATCAACACCTCATAGATGATGCAGTTCAGTATGCAAAAGCAAAGGAGGGGTATGTCAGTTTTTTTCCAATCTGAATAGATAATACTGAGACGGATTTCACAAGGAAAAGACATGATAACGCCAAAAATTCACCGTAATTGGTGCTCAAATGTGTTATAGAAAACAATATAATATTTTGCTTCTTTTGTTGAATACAGTTGATAACTCTTAAAATACTGGCCAATGATAAAGTTACAGATTATTTTACCGGTAGGTCTTTTGATGATCAGTTGGACTGGACCATGGACAGATTGTTTGTTAATTTTGGATCAGAAATCCTGAAGATAATTCCTGGAAGAGTTTCCACAGAAATTGATGCAAGGTATGCCATGGTGATTTACCTGTTTCAAATATAATACATAAAGAGACTGCTCTTTTAGTGTTTGGAATCTATTTTGATATTTGACCATTATCCACTGTCCTGTTTGCCATGACTTCAGTAAAGGATTGCTTTTGCATAACTTTTTCAATAACAAGTTGATTTTAATTCTTGAAACATATTGCCATTTGCCCATCATACTTAGAAATACAGGCTCATGGAGGATCACAGTTATGGTATATTAGTCACGTAAGCTGTATTTGCCATACAAAATTATTTCAGATTGTCTTTTGACAAGGAGGCTTCCATCTCAAAAGCGAGAAGAATCATTGATTTATACAAAGAGAAAGGGATTGATAAAGAAAGGATTCTTATCAAACTTCCAACCACCTGGGAGGGTATTGAGGCAGCCAGGTGATTTCAGTTCTTTACCTTATTATATAGTGCTTTCTTTGTGCACTTTTAATTGAAGGTGAATGGGACCATTTTTATGCCAAATTTAGGAAAATAATGTAATATACAAGCATAATTGTGATATTTATTTGTAACATTTTAAACATTCAAAGTGGGTAAGTTGTATTAAAAATATAAGAATATGAGATCATGCACAGAAACTCTCTATTTAAATTAAGAACAAATTTAAACAAACCTAAAAAGTGCTATACAAATTACATTTACTTGTATTCAGAGTAATATAGGATGACTGATGGAAAGTTCTTATTGAAAAGGAACTATTTTGTAATATATTGTTAAAACATATCCACAACTGTTTTAGAAATAGGTACTGTATGCCCTGGCCTGCCCTGCATATGAAGATTGTTAAATATCATGTTTATTCATTGATGATGACTAGAATGTTTGAATAAAATTCCTCCTTTATATTTCATGTCTCCAGAACCCTTGAACAGGAATATGGAATTCACTGCAACTTGACTCTATTGTTTTCATTTGCACAGGTACTACATACTTCAATTTTTCATGGGCATATGTACTCTATCATTTTATTAATGTTTAAAACCTCCATATTAAATAACATCTTTGAATTGCACTGCCTATGATGTTTAGGATATGAAGCAATTGACCAATTTGTTTTGCAATTTAAACTGTATTTTAGGAATTTCAACCTCTGAAATTGCAGAGATATCTTTTGCAGGCTGTTGCATGTGCAGAGGCTGGCGTGACACTCATTTCACCTTACGTGGGCAGAATCTTTGACTGGTATGTAGAAAACACAGACAGAAAGAAGTTTCAGCCATTGGAAGATCCAGGTTGGTTTTGTTATGATGATAAGAATAAAATCATTGTAATAAAAATGACAATTGGTAAAGTTAATAATCTCAGCTGAGAGCAGTTTATAAACATTTAGCTTCTTTTGTTTTTCTAAAGAAAAAACAAGTAGTGGGAATTATACAGAAAGTGCATCCTCTATATGAAATACTATATATATATATATATATATATATATATATATATATATATATATGTCTCATTTAAAGCCAATGCATATTCAAATCTTTCTTAAAGAACTTCATTTTAATTGTCTGAAAACACAAATGCTTTATTTGTGAAATTTTGTTACATATATGCCAATTTTACAGGTGTTCAAAGTGTCACCAGGATCTACAATTACTACAAAAAGTTTGGATACCAGACTGTCGTCATGGGAGCCTCTTTCAGAAATACAGAACAGATAACAGCACTTGCTGGATGTGACCTCCTCACTATCAGGTACCTAAAGAACCAGGAATTTTAACTTTTTATATAAACACAGTAGTATCTCTACAGGAGCTAGTCCTCGAGAATTATCAGGAGTTTTGTGAATTGAAATGGTAAATTTAACATAATAGCAATTGTCCTTTTTGCCTGTGTATGTTCCATTTCAAATATTCTGTTCTTGTTTTGTAGCCCATCACTTTTAGAAAAGCTTTCCAGCAGCAATGAGAAAGTGACTGTGTACCTTTCTGAGAAACAAGGTATGCTCACTGTTCTTACAATTAAGTAGTGTAAGCTTACATAAAGAAAATTAGTTACATATGAAGCGAGCCTGGATTCCCAACAATGCATTTTAATCCTTTGGTCAGCCAAAAAATAGCTTGGAAACTGTACCTTTCTACAAATTTTTGGTTATTAACTCGACCTTTTTATTCATTCCTCTAGTGTGTGAAAGTCCACCAAGTGACGTAAGGGTAGTAATATGTGGCCAATTACTGCAGCGCCTGCAATAGCAAAATTATTCAAATTAGGTTGTGCAGAAATAACAAAGGTTTAGAAAGAAAGCAGAAAATAATTGTTCAAATATCATTTTTCAGGAAATATGCTCTTTTGTATTTTAAAGTCTTGCTATTTGAGACTATATGGTGGCATTTGGTCAGGTTTAATGGCAAAGGTTTGACTTAAGTTATGTGTAACTTTCAAACTTTACAACTATTTAAACTACATTTGTTTCAAAAAAAATTTTTTAAAGATTTTTCTTGTCCCACAATTGTTAGCAAAACAGTGTGAACTGACAAAGATCAACATGGATGAAAAGACATTTAGGTGGATGCTAAATGAAGATGAAGTCGCAACAGACAAATTGGCTGAGGGAATAAGAAATTTTGCTGTGGATGCAGTTAAACTGGAAAATGTGGTGAAGGAGAGGCTCTTGAAGGCTTAAAAGACTGGTGGTCAATAAAAAGAAAATTGGTGACATTTATCATGTTAAAAAAGTTGCTTTCCCATTATTACGGTCTTTGTTGCACAAAGATTTATATCAAATTTCTTAATCTTTGCATTATATCCTTGATGCATATTTTCTAATAACATGATATTTTGGTAGTATGTTGAAGAAGGCTTTCACATTTAAAGGAATAATAAGTCTTCGTAATTGAAAACAATTTATAGAAATATAATATATTCTGTTTTAACACAAAAATGGCAGTTATAGCTATTATTCTGATACCTGAGCTTGTCATTGGACCACATGACCTCCATAGATGGCAATCCTCTGTAATAATCTCTTTTTCTTAAGAGATTATTACAAAAAAAAAAAAACTTTTTCAAAAAAAATTTGAATGTAGAAATGGATTCATTAACCATTGGTAAGTATGACAAAATTGTTGTTAACTCCAGGAAAATTAATTTTTTGACCAAAACGAATAGTTATTATCCCTTTACGTTTTCCAAACTTCAGATGTATATATTTTTTTGTGTATCTTTTTCTACTATTGTTCAATTTAACTTAAGTAAACTAACAGTATTCAAGATATTATTTTTTTAAAGTGACAATTGTGCAACATAGCTTAAAACAAAACTTGATATGTATTGATTTTAGAATTTTGCTATAAAGATTGTTTTTGTTTGCAAAAATATAACTATAATTTTACAAATGTAGTATATTAAATTTTATTGAAGTAGAACAAATAACAATCCATATGTTGTTTTTACAGGATGAGAGATATTACTCAAGTTTTTTGACATTTTGACTACTAAAATTGTATGTGTATACCACAGGGTCGTCATTTGTAAAAAATATGTTAATAATTAATTAACTGCACATTTTGATAAAACATTTAAAAGTGTTTCAGTATATACTGCTTTTTAAGAATAATAAAAAATTTGGAAAGAACCCAAAAAAGAAAAAAAAATGCATTTTTTCTTTTATATGCAAATAAGATTGTCTCTAGTAATATATCTGACTGGAAGGGATGCTCATAGCAGAGATTTCAAAGATGGTGATCTTGATTACTTTATATTTTGTTTTTTAATCATTTGATAATATTGATTAAAAAATTAAAATATAATTGAAGGTACCAAATATAATTTTCTTCAAGAATTTTGTAATAGCCAGAAGGGTCACTCCATCACTATACCTCAGTGTGTTCTACATGCATGCCCTATCCAGTGGGCAGGCAACGTTGCTCCTCTATACACTAGTACATTCCTTATATCTTTTCTACACCATCTTCCTTATATTGAGGTCGCGTGTTGGAAAAGGGAGGGAGGTGGTCACAAGTTTTGCCTACTAAAAGTACGTGGGTCAAAAAAAAAAAATTAAGCCATGCATTTAGGGTGGGCCACAAGTTAACTAAACTTTATATTTGGCACCTACTGTGCAGCTATACTTCACTTGAAGTAGAAGAGCATGCAAAGGTTCTGAAAACATCTGTTTCTTTTTTTAACCAGCGTTTTTAGGAACAAGCAACAAACGTTTATTGTAGTTATTAATGGGCAGTTAAAAGCTTGAAAAAGTTGTCGGTTTAACAGAATTTGGTCAAAAATCAAACCCGGAGCGCCCGCGTGGCAGGCGAGCATTCTTCAATTGAACCTCGCGTACTTCTAAGATGTAAGTTTGCCCTTGCCCCCTCCCCTCCCCAAGAAAACCACCGGTGATGCTCGAAACATTTCTGCAAGTTTGTGCGGATCATATCAAAAGCTGACGGTCTATCACCACGGTTTTGTTGTTTTTTGCGATGATCATATATAATTGATCAACAAAAACCATCTGAGTTTGGATTCTTTCATATCTTTCAGGAGACGATTATAGCTAAGATTCCACGTTATTGCTTTCTTTAAGAACCTTTCCCATTTTATTTCATTTTTAGGGGTTAAGTACAGTTTTTTATAAACGTATCATAAATTACTTTACAGCCTTTTTTGTTTTTCCATATAATCATAATTGGTTTGGGTATTTTCGGGTTATAAGTTTTCTGTGTAACTATTCCTTTTAAATTGGGAAATGCATTGTAGATAGCATTCCTTAGGTCAAAATATTTCGTAAATGGTAGGCGTATTTTGTATGCATCCGTGATTTCTCTGTCTGAAAGCACGTTGCCGTTTGAATCAAGCAAGTCGAGCACCACCCGGTAACTGTTCTCATGTAATGGTAGGGAGGTCAGGTCACACCGCTCACGCAGTCGAAAACGGGAAGAAATCTAACCTCGCTGTTTGTTTTCCATCATAACTTCCAAGATTTGGGTCCTATGATAAATATGAAAATATATTTAAAAAGTGCATTGAATGGGCTTTCGATCAATATGTGTAACAATGTATCATGTCTCTGTTGTAAGCCTCCAGCCACGAAAATGCTGCGAGAAATCGCCGGTGATTTCACTTCCTCGTTTGGTTCCCACTATTTACGAATTTTGCTCAACATGCGCGTTTCGCGCCATTTTTCTAAAAGCTCCGTACGGCGTCCCTGATGTTATTTCCTCATATTTGGACACGTATTCATGAGGAGAATGAATCAAGCGTTCGAGTGAGGGGTTACAGAAGTTAACTCAACCGAAAACAGCAACCAAAACTAGCTTGTAAAGTTTTTAATCGTGTTTAAGAGTTAGAACAACGAATTTCTGAAAGTTCTGTAACCCCTACCTAAATTTTTAAAACTAATTTTCGGTTCAAATCAGTTTTTTATTTATCATTTTTTGGTAAGATAGAGCCGTAAGAGCCGTTAGAAAATCAGTGACTTTGATCTTACCGCAAACAAAATGGCGGACGCACCAAGCTGTTCTGCTGATGAAAAAGCAACTGCACTTTCAGCACCCAAAGAGGATCAAGATATCAGAATATCTAATCAGAAAATCTTTGAATTGTTCACGAAACCCAGTGATATTGATAAAACGCCTACAATTCAAGAATATAGAGTTTATTTTATTTTTCAAACAAAGTATGAAATTACGTACGATATTGATGGGGCTAGTGCTTTTTTCGTCTTTGAACTCGTCAGTGAACATAAAAAGGGGAATCTTAATTAAAATCATGCATGGAGATATGCAATAACTCTAGAATGGTTTATGATAGCCGAACAAAAGGGAACAAAAAAAATATTTATTTATTTATTTTTTCTTAATAACAAAAAAAAAAGGAAATTCCTAAAACTGCCATTATGTTATTTCAGTCTCTCCAAAAAATCTCGCTGGTTTTTGTATTACCTACCTGCTATGATGTCCAATATCAATTAAATTTTTTTGGCAAAATTATAACTTACCAAAATCGGATATTATTTATTTTCATTGTGCATTCTGGTATTTTTTTACTAGTTAAACCTTAAAATCGTATATGCAATTGTCATTGTAATAGTGGTTGCCATGGCAACAGTGACAGAGTATTTGTTTACTACTTAACTTAAATTCATAAACTGAGTACCAAGAGTGTTTCCCACTTCATATTCAGTTTAAAAATTCATGATAATGTGTAAAAAAATAATTCAAACAGTTACCATAGCAACAGCTATCATAATGACGATTTTCATAGCAACAGATACATTAGAAGCTATTATTTTTTATTTTAGTGATGGCACATTATTTAGCATCATTTTCATCCAAAAGTAGCCTTTGGACAGTGATGCTGAAGCCTTAGGTTGAAAAATCAAAAAAATAATATCGATCGCTATTGATATTTAGCAATGGTTGCCATGGAAATAATGGATAAATTACAGAAAATTGTATCTTGTCAGATTCTCCTTGGCATAGTGTAACTTTCCAGAAATTTTCAAATGGATATTTCACTCCATTCAAAAGTTATGCCAATTTTGTTTTATTGATTGGGCAATTAGGTGACACTTTTGGCTTCCACTGTTACATATGCTTGCATACAAGACATTTTCAAAATTTTGTGGCCGACTAGCATTCTTGAAAATTTAATAACTTTTGATTGGCTTGCTTGATTTTCAAAAAATAAACTGTTTTGGAAAGCTCATGAATTGCTCTATCAGATAAGATCATTTTGGCTGATATTTATGTTACTATCAAAGTTGACCTGACCTCCCTAGTAATGGTTTTAAGAATACAGCCTTGTTTTCGATCAAAATACTCGGATTATGCCACAATGGAGCTTCCAGAAAATCTCTTGGGTCATTTTCTTGTATTGCGCTAGCATACTGTGAGTAATATGAAATGATTCTTTCCAAAATAAATTTGTCGTGATTTCCCTGCATTGCTCGTATATACAGGCCCAAACTGACAGAGCGGAGTCATATCACAACTTGTAATTTCGGTAAAAATCCTACCGTTTTGGTTAGTATTCGATAGTAATCTGCGAATCCAAGTTAATTTAAAAGCTTTAATATACATGTATATATATATATGTATGATTCCAAATGCCCCATTCTACAGCCCCCATTTTCGAAGTCTGTCACACGCAACGTTATTCCGAGTCCTGGACTGTATTTTTTATTTTTATTTGTAGATTGAAAGTACCGTATTAAGTACCGAAATAGAGAATCCAGGTGAAAGTAACAATAGAACGAGGCAGATGACACAAAACAAACAACCTGTTTTTAATCACCTAGCTGGGCCTTACACGTTAAAGAAAAGTGCGCCCTCCTACTGATTTATATATTTACGACCACCCTTGCCTTAGCAAATCCGTTTGATACCGGTGCAGGGTTATTTATTTATTTATTTATTTATTTATTTATTTATTTATTTATTTTGGACGTACCTAAACAATAAAGATCCCAAGTACTATGAGCCCTACGGCCCAGCATCTCCCGGAATCATATACTGGTAACTGAAATCATGGACATAATAAGAGATCTTATTATGTCCATGCTGAAATACATGGTAATAGGACACTGATTCAACATAAGTTTGTATGATTGTAAAACATAACAATTTTTATTATTAAACGAAATGAACGATTGAAAATCAATCTCAATCCATCCATTCGTGCAAGATAGGAGG